ATACAATAAATGCCTAGTGAATTAATACCAGCAAGAAGAGGAAAAGTATAAGCAGCAGCCTGGTTTCCAACTGTCATGTACGTTGACATGAGACAATTTTCTGCATCTTACTACCAGCTCATTCATCTCTGCTCAGAGTATGCATTTTCTCATGTTGGATCCTGGTTCCACCATTTCCAGGGGTGTGACCCTGGGCATGATTCTTAACCTCTTGCTTCACTTTCCTCACCTATTAATGGCGGATAATAATAGTACCTAATTCAAATGTTTAACTGAGCTTCTAACTGAGAGTTTAGAAGTGCTCAAGAAACAACAGCTGTGGTTGTACTTCAGCTGGCCCCTTCATTAAGCCTCTTTCATTAGGCTTCTGAAAGGGATAGTACATATTTTTCATGAATGGATAACTACTACTAATGTTCCTTTGTCAATGGAAAACATGTACTTCTTAGAAGAAGATAAAACATGTCTGTTTTCACCATATAGTTTAGGTCATCCATTCTACCTTGGGTAGAACTTGGGGAGTATTTTTCTTTCTCTCCTCCACCTTTACACTTTCCACTGTTTTCTACCTAACTCTATCTGCTCCCGATGGTTCAATAGCTCCTGGAAGAGGCAGCGAAGTCTCCAAAGAAATAGGTCTCAGAGACAGGAGAGCTGTCTGGCCTAGACATTGTCAAGTTCATAAAGAGCCCTAACCATTGACTTTCAACCTTATCTCGGAATTCATTCATTTATACATCATAAAGATGCATCGCATCTACAACTGAAAAAAAAAAAACTCATTCATCTTAAACTTGGGTTCTATCATTGGACTACTCCTTCTGTAGTAAGTCAGAGAAAATATGCTTTTTTTAAATAAAATAATTGCATTGTGGCTAACGCATTACATTGCATTTTATATTTATGCATGATTTAGATCTCTCTTAATATTTTAATATGTTAATTTTTAATTTAAATATGTTAACATATTATGATCATGTTTATGCTTCTGTTATGGCACTTTTTGATATGTTGAAGCCTAGGACTGGGGTTGTGGCTCAGTGGTAGAGTACCTGCCTAGCATGTATGAGGCACTGGGTTCCATCCTCAGCACCACATAAAAAAAATAAATTAAATAAAGGTATTGTGTCCATCTACAACAAAAGAAAGAAAGAAAGAAAGAAAGAAAGAAAGAAAGAAAGAAAGAAAGAAAGAAAGAAAGAAAGAAAGAAAAAATATAGCCTGGCTGGCAGGAGGACTCCTTTACTCTTCAAGAAGCCCTAGAGTGGGGCATCCACAAGGCACCTCTTTCTCTTGCTGATCTGTGTTAAAAGATCTGTGCCTCTTCTTTAAACAGAGGTAAGGAAGGGAAGGAATAAAAGCGATATGTCACATATTATATAAAATGACAATAATCACAAGTCACCTTCACAAATTACCATAAACATTATGTGCAACGATACTTTGCAAAGAGTTTTAAAGAGTTAAAGTACAACCATAAAAGGCAGTGCGCTCCCAGGACCATTTTCAGTCTGTGAACTCTTTGTTTCTGGTCCATGATGAGATAAGTATGAAAAATTGAGTAAGCGTTTAGGAACTGTTATAGAAATTTGACAAAGTAATTTTATGTCTATTGAATCAAATAATAAAAGATCTGAGCTTGTATTTTGTATGCCTGATATTTTACTTTATTTTCCAGTAATTCATTTCCATTGTATTTTACAAAGGCAAAGAAAAACCTGTCCTTTGCTACATAGAGTTTGAAAAGCATTGATAAAAAGGTATTGTTATTTTTGAAATCTTGCTTAAGAACCACTAAATTTCTAATTATAAGCTAGTCATTATTTGAGAAACACTTTCATACCAAGTCTAAGGAGTTGTCAGCCCACAAACAAGTCCCAGAACAAGTTTGTTTTCTGTTGAGCAACTTGGTTATTTGGTAGTCAGAGATCATTTTCCCCACGAAATAACAAACCAGGGGTTACATTCTTGGTGTGGCTTATAAATCCCAGTGATCTTAAATGATAGTGAGGTTACTCTACACAATTTAATAATCAGTAGAACATTTTTACAATGGAGATGATAAGTTTCTGATTTCCAAATCATAAAAGTAAAATCTCTAAGAAACAATGATTTCTAGACTGAGTATGGGGGTGAGGATAGGGGTGAGGATGGAGACTTGGGCAGAACTTGCTTCAGTAGCAACATTCAGAAAGGGAAAGGGTATGGGGATATAGGACCTTTTACACAGAATAACAGGAGAACTCACTATTCATATGAACAGAATTCAAACACAGCTCCTCTAAGATTCTCTGAAAATGAGGTTAGGTAGGTTTAGTTGGAAAGCTCTGGTTCTTTATCTCAGATTCTTCCACTCTAAACTCCAGGGTATTGTTTCCCTTGACTACCCAACACCAAGACAGCAAGCAGCCTTCATCCTGAACCGAAATCTGTCAGTATCTAGCTCCAGAATTTTTCTGACCCTGTAGCTGTTGTTTGGGACTGTGAGGACAAGTCTGGGCTTGGTGAGAAACATTGCTGTGATCCGTTAGTGATGTCTCTGTGGGTTTTGGAACAAGGGGAAACCAGCACAAAAGCTGGTGGTTTTTTAAATGTATTTTTTATTTTATTATTATTATTATTATTTATTTTGCTGTGGAGCCCAGGCTAAAAGCTGCAAAAAACCAATCCTTTCCTTTCAGCTGAAACCAGACTAAATTATRAACATGACTTTTCCCCCCTAAACTTGGAAATAGACCTTAAGAATGGCACAAAGCTAAGTAATCTTATTTCCAATCTATGGTTTCTTATTTTCAGACACATGTAGGTAGGTGTTGTAATGTGGCTCTTGGCTCTTGACCTTGAGTCTTCAAGGCATAGTTTTACATACTTCCTGTTACCCAACAATCCTTGGAATATGACTCTCAGCAAGAAGTCCCAGATAATAGTTTCAGGTCCTGTTTTACATCCACCACCTAAAGTCTGACTGCATTTGTGAGATTCTTTTCCTCCCCAATAATTAGTACCAGATATGAGGGGAATCCCCCTCCATTTATACAGTCATAGCCTTACCCTAAGTCAAGGTTCTTAATCCAAGTGGTCTATCACTTCAAGAGGAGCAGGAGGTGTAAGTCAGTGGTACAGTCCCTACCCAGCATGTATAAACTTCTGGGTTCAGTCTCTGGTACTAGGCCGGGAGAGGGTGTATGTGTGGGGGGGTGTTGGGGGTGTGGGGGGTGGGGGCGGGGCGGAGTTCAGGGTAGATCTTGACTTCAAACAAAATTTAGTATTTCATTTATAAAAGTAAGAAACACACCTCAGAAACATTAGCACTACTTGTAACCTTGATTCCAATGGAAGTAACAGTTTCATTACAGTTGCTAGAAAGTTGTTTTTTTTTTTTTTTTTTTTTTGTGGGAGGGGGATTGTTTTGTTTTGGTGGTGGTGATACCAGAGTTTGAACCCAGGGACTCACACATGATAAGCAAGTGCTCTTTAACCCAGGGGCACTTAACTACTGAGCTACACTCCTAACCCATTTTATTTATTTTTTTTTATTTTGAGACAATGTCTCACTAAATTGAGCAGGTTGAACTAGAACTTGTGGTGCCTCAGCCTCCAGAGTAGCTGGGATTACAGATGTGTGCCCAGCTGTTACAGAGGTTTGAAAGAAAATTTATACTCTTCAACATTGAAAGAATGCGGTGAGATATTGTTATTTAACGTGTCAAATAACATAGCACACATTATAGTACTTTATTACTGTAGCACAAACTTGACATTTTTGTCCATTTTGTACCACTGGGGATTGAACCCAGAACCTCACATATGCTAGGCAAAAGCTCTACCACAACTCCAGTCCACAGATCTCTTTTTAAAATACTTTGACAATTGTATTTAATTGTAAACTGTTCTCTTTGCAGTCCTGTATATTTTATTGTTTGTATTTTAAAAAGTTATTCTGAGACAGTATCTATTAAGTGTCACTACTGCTAGAGGGGTCCTTCACACAAAAGAATAAAGCTTCTTGGACTTTCAAAGAACAACTACTTAGCTCTCTTATATGGTCCAGAATAATACAATATCCCTTACCCTTAGGACTGAACCAGAGATATATAGAATCAGAAGATATATATAAGTTCTTTATTTTTTTTTCATTTTTGGAAAGGTGTAGGTGAGAAAATTGGCATCTGCTTCTCTTTAATGGTTATTTATGAAACTGATATTTGTTAAACACTGACAAATTTAGACCATTTCTGTCTACATATTGTGCAATTCAACTCTAAAAACCATTAGAAGTAGTCATTTGTTTGTAACTGTCTCGATTTTTTTCTTTTCCCCAGTACTGGGGATTGAACCCAGGGGCCCTTTACCAATGAGTTGTATCTCTAGCCCTTGTATTTTTAATTTTAAGACAGGGTCTCCTTAAGTTGCTAAGGCTGGTCTGGAACTTGGGATCCTCCTGCCTTAGAATCTCAATTGTCTTGAAGGGTGTTTCATGTATATACATGCACACACACACACATACACATATGTATATTTATGTATGTTTTCTCTTCGTATTGTGTGTATAGGAAGAAAATAAGGCGAGAGAGGGGGGGTTGAGTTTGGGTTAAAAAAAAAAGTACTTAGGTTTCTAGTCTAGATGAAGTCTTGCTGGAATCAGGATATTGTTTTCCTCCCATCCACATCCTATTACAAAAAGCAGTAATTCCAACATGATATATTTACAAGATATGTCCCATTGCTATTTTCTCCAATTAAAAAAAAAAAAAAGTCTTTGTAAAACTTTGAAAGTTTCTTACTTTTCAGTAGGAAACTTTCTGTAAGGAACGTCTGACGAGTGGGGAGTTCAGAAAGGTGTGCAGAAAGGTTTTGTGTGGGTTGTTCGGGAAAGGACAGCAGGATCTCAAGGTTTGGGGCCATTAAACTAACTAGGTCGTGGGACGTCTGCGCGGGAAGGTGTCTGGGCAGCAGGTTCGCGCAGACAAAGGCCAGGCCCGGCGCAGGGCGGAGCCTCGGCAGCCCGGGAGCTGGATCGGGCGGGGCGGGCCTGCGCGCCGGGTGGGGTGAGCTGGCACCTCCCACGGTGCTGCCTGGTCTGGCCCGAGCCACACGGCCGGCCAGCTCCCGCGCCATGGGGCGGCTGGTGAGTGTGGGCTTGATGGGGATGGCGCTGGCGCTCCTGGGCGAGAGGTTCCTGGCGCTCAGGTAGGTGGGGCTTCCTGGCGCCCCTCCTCGAGGGTCCCCAGGCTGCGGGAGCGGACGCCAGCGGGTGGAGAGATTCTCCGGGGCGGGGGATCGTGGGCGGAGTGAAGAGCTGTTGATGGCTCTCGGTTCCCCGGGCTAGCTGGGCCCACCCCACCCCCACCCGGATACTTTCTAAAAAGTTTATAAGCCTTTGCTGCTTACCGAGTTCTGTCTAAGCTGACAAGGGAGTGCTTTGCAATTACTCAAGGGCAAACCTAGTGTTTTCACTTGAAAACAAAACTATTACTCATGCATTGAAACTTTAATTATAAAGATTTATTTCAGGTCACCGGTGCTGCTTCCCTTTGTTGCCTGAACCAGACCCCTCTTTAATATTGCTCTCTCCATCCCTCCCCTGCATAGTTGGAGAAACACTTCTGTTTTCTCATCTTGGCGCTGTAGATCAAAGCCACTTGACAAAGCTACTGTTCTTACATCACTTCCTTATCCACCCTGGATCCCTGAAGCCAGAAAGCCAAACAGTAGAAAGAAGCACATCTCATATTTTAGTTATATTGGAAGCATGGTGGTTAGACATCAAGGTTTCTAAATTACCAATTAAAATTTTATAAGCCTCATGAGAAAGCCTTCTGGAAATATTAAACACCTAACTAGGTATGTATGCTGTGTTCTTCTAGGCAGGCTACTATTGTAAATTTATACCTTAATGGAGTTTACCTTAATATAGGGGAGGAGAGAAACAAAATAAATATACGAATTACTATGCCCAGGTCGGGTACAATGGAACCCAGGTAGTTGTACATCCCCTGAAGGAGTTGTGGTGGAAGAGAGATTGACATTGGCTTTGAAGTGACCTTGCTTATAAGTATGGTGATGGAGGAGTCCTTTGTGGATTTAGATTGCACTGTGAGCAAAGGTCTAAAATGAGAATTGGAGCACCAGTTTGAAGGAAGTATAAAGTCAAGGAAAGAGAATAGTAGGGGTAGTGGGAAGGATGGGCTTTTAGGCTGTTGAATAAGTTCAAAACCTGGCCCTTTTTTGATGGGCAAAGAGAAGGTCTGATGGGTTTTGTTTGTTCCCTAAGAACCTGATATAACCAGTTTTGCATTATGAAGATGAACCTGCAAGGATAGAGCAATGATTATCTGTACATTAGGATCTCCTAAAGGGCTGGTCTCTGGGTAACACCCTAGAGATTCTAACTTAATTAGTCTTTGGTTATTTATTTATTTATTTATTTAAAAACCCTCTCCTGATAATCTGGGAATGTAACTCAGAGATAAGAGTGCTTGCCTAGCATGTATGAGACTTGGAATGTGATACCTACCACTGCAAACAAACAACAACAAAAATAAAAAAATAACCCCAATCTACTAACCAAACAAAATCCTCTCCTGATAATTCTCAGGATTGAGAACTACTGGAATAGAGTATAAACATAGGGAAGCTAGTTAAGGTATTACATTGGTTTGAAGAGGAGAACTGGGACTCAAACTCTCTAACCCCAGGAAGGAGGATCAAAAGTGACACCATAGCTTTCCACGGTTGCTCCATGTCCCATAGCTATAGTTTCATCTTCTGATAACCAATTCAGGCGTTTGTTTTACTGAGGAAAGAATACTCATTGATAGGAAATGGACATGTTGATCTTAATTATCATGTTATGTCTCTGCAGAACCATTGTGAGTTGAATGATATTTTTTTGTTGTTGTTTAGTTTTATTTTTGATTGACAAATAATAAGTATGTATTTATGAGATAAAATATATATTTTGTATACTATTGTGATCAAATCTGGGTAATTAGCATAGCTATCACCTTACACATTTATAAAATTTTGTGGTAAGAACATTCAAATCCTTCTCCTTATTTTGAAATATACTTTACTCTTGTTAACTTTAGTCACTCTATTGTGCAATAACATTGTAACCCTACTTGTAACATTGTACCCATTGACCCATCTCTCCCTCTCCTTAGCCTTTTATAACTATTACTGCACTCCAACTTCTACATATCAACTTTGTAAGATTCCTCCTATGAACGAGATCGTGCAATATTTGTCTTTCTGTGCTTGAATTATTTTACTTAGCATGTTTCAGGTTTATCTTAAATGACAGGGATTTTGTCCCTTTTTGTAGATGAATAGTATTCCATTGTACCACATTTTATTTTATTTATCCATTTACCCACTGCTGGACACTTAAGCTGTTCCTCTTTCTTGGCTGATGTGAATAGTGCCTCAGTGAACATGAGAGTGCAGATGTTTCCACATACTGATTTCATTTTCTTTGCATATATACCCAGGAGTAGGATTTCTGGGTCTATTTTTACTGTTTCAAGGAACTTCCATGTTGTTTTCCATAATGGCTATACTAACTTACATTCTCCAGAATAGTAAACAAATGTTCCCTTTATTGCCTAAGGGTGTTGCTCAGTGATAGAGCACTTGCCTAGCCGGTACAAGGGCCGGTGTTCCATACCCAGCACTGAAAAGAAAAGAAAAAAGAAAAAAAAAAAAACTTTTCCAACACTTATTTTTTGTTGTCTTTCAGATAATAGATATTCCAACTAGAGTGAGGGGGTATCTTGTTGAAACTTTGATTTTCATTTTCCTAATGACCAGTGATGTCGATTATGTTTTTCATATATCTATTGGCCATTTGTATGTCTTCTTTTGAGAAATGTCTGTTCAGGACTTTTGCTCTATTTTCAAATTGTTGGGGTTTTGTGGTATGAATGAATGAGTTGAGTTCATTGTATATTCTGGATGTAACCCCTTATCAGATGTATTCCTAGTATATTCTACCATTCTGTAGGTTGTCTCTTCACCCTGTTGATTGTTTCCTTTGCTGTGTCTGTTTTTGCTTTCATTGCCTGTGCTTTTAAGACCTAATGAGTTTTGATGACTTCGTATGATCTTTCCAACTCTGTTTTAGAAGCAAGACCACCAAAATTCACAGGCTCATTAAGTTATCACTAATTTTCAAATCGCCTGTGTTCCCACAAATTGAAATTTTCTTAACAATTTTTCTCCCTTCTAATCTTCAAGTTTTAAAATTAAGTCCCTTTGAATGATACATATTATAATTGCAAACCCAAGACAAAGCAAATAAAGCTTAATGACATAGATTGTACCCAATAAGTAGTTTACAATGTGATGCAACTTTTCTTTACAAAGATTTGACTGTGATAAATTTTAATGAGCAGTGATTTCACAGGTTGGTAACTTTATTGGCTAGTTGAAGCTCCAAAGGCAGTGAGGTAATATGGGGTGAGGTGATAGGTGATGGGGGTAAGTGGGAGGTGGCTTGATTTAGCAAACAAAAATGCAGAATGCCCAGTTAGATATAAATTTCAAATAAACAACGAATCATTTTTTTTTAACATTAGTGTGGAATTCTTATACTTTAATTGTAGTATAAGCATGGAATTTGGGACGTAATTGTACTAAAACATTATTCATTGTCTGACATTCAGATTTGACTGGGCACCCTGTGTGGTATCTGGTGACTGTGTTTGAGGACGGGTATCTACTCTCTGCAGTGTGATTGAGTGCTCAGATCTATGGCATTTCTCCTGTCATACCTTGACAAAAAGCAGCATGTTCCCAGCTTCCCATAAGGAAAGACTTTTCAAAGGAAGGTGAAAGGACACAAACTTTGTTTTTTGTGCTCTTCTCTGGTGTCTGCTATTTAATTAGTTATTGCAGATGGTATTTTGGCAACCAAGTTATTTGGCTCCCCCAGGATACCCATTTAAATTTCAACTTGAGTTTCAGATAAACAATGGGGAAGTTTTAGTGTAAGTATGTCCCAGGTGGATAAATGTAATCAAGATTGTCTGTTTCCTTTGGAACTGTAACTGACTGAGGTTCCCAGGAGAGGATGGCATTCCCCACCCATCTTTTCTACCCTTCCCTAGTTGAGAAATAAGAAAATAGAGATAAACAAACATTCTCAGACTTTTTACTCCCTATTGCAAGATGCACAGCCTTGTTTGGATGAGTCATGAGATGACTTGAATGCATCAGAGACCCAAGAGTGGGCAGAAACCCCCCAAACAAGTGTCTGGACATTTTGCTTAATGGTTGATGACTTTTATGACAGCTCCAAAAAGCAACTCTGGAATCTGTTTTGAAACTCTTCAAAAGAGGCAGCTATTTTTTTTTTTTTTTAATTACCATTCTGCTTATCACTTATCTACTGTGTGCTGGTCACTGTCAAGTGTAGAAAGTTCTTTATATGAAACCAAAATGTACATTTATCAACATTTTGAAAGACTATCCTTTTGTTTTTATGCTTTCATTTTATATATCTGTGTGCAGATATTTTGTTTTTCTTTATTACACATGTAAATATTGAGGTTTGGAGAGCTTAACTACTTGGGCCATCAGGTAATTAATTAGTGCTGGACTTGTTAGCTATGCCAGGTCTTCTGATTCCAGTTTGTTCCAACTTCCTCATCACTTCCGACCCTCTGTACCATTGACMAATTTTCTCCAAGTTTGCATGCCTAAGCACAAATTCTTAGTTACTTTGTGCAAACATTGCAAGGTCCTAGAAGCTGAATTCCAAAGATTTTTATATCTACATATAAAAGATAAAGCCCATGTTTGTATATATCTGCACAAGGAAGACAAAGCCCCACCAATGTTTTGTAAGTTGGAAGGCAGTGCCATATGGCACAAAGTACTGGCCCAGAGTAACCCTGTTCCAACTTTGCTCGAGGTATATTGACACTGTTGCATGGTTTGCCTTCTATGCTCCCCACCATGAGTAAGCCAGTGACAAGAAGTCGTTGTTGTGTTCCACTCTGGATAAATACTAGAAATAGAAGAAATAGAGATTGATATCATGTTAATGACTGTTGGTTAAGAATTCATGTGTTGTGTGGTAAGATACCCTGAATTTATTAACATCTTTATTACCTTATACCTTGGACTAGTTATTTCACCTACTTGCTCCATTCTGGGATTATAAGAAATAAATGAGGTCATTCTGTATCATATGCTTAGAATAATGCCAAGCACATAGTTAGCTTAATAAAAATTACATACGATGACAATGATGTTTGTGCAAGATTTCTTAGACTTTTTAGGATGTAGATCTATTAGTAGTCTGGCAAAGTAGCCTTGATTTCTTCTTAGCATCATTGAAACTCTTGCAGTGTTGGGATTGAACCCAGGGCCTCACACATGTTAGGCAAACATTATACATTGAACTGAACTACATCCTCAGCCCTGGTGTTGTATTTTTATATGCATAGAATAAAATAAAACGCATAGGGATACAAAATGAACCAATCATACTTAAATACTATTACCAAATTATTTTAAAATCTAACTTATGAATAATAACATGAGTTTAAAAAAGTTTTTTTTTTAATTTTAAATTTTTGATGAGATCCAGAGGTGAGTAAATATCAAACAGTGATAATTTGAAGTAATGATGAGTGTAAATGGCACTTGGAGATGGCTATAGCAACTGAAATGTGATGGCAGTAGTACCTGTAATTGTTGATGTTGAGAGTCACAGGTATTGCTAATAAGAGGTACTGTGGCTTGTTCCCACTCATTATCAAAAAGAGTACTCTATTCAGTTAGAAGTTTAACTACAGTAGTATTTTTCCCCCACCCAAGGTCATGAGTCTCTGAATTCTACCCATGGATTCCTTGAAGGTCTAGGACCCCCAGATTAAGATCTCCAGTATGCATGATTTCCAATGGGATCATCTGGGAATGATTGCTGATAGCCAAGGGAAGCCAGCTTATATCCTGCCATAGGCTTGTAACTCAAAGGAAAATAATTGAATTGTAAGGAAAAAGAAAAGGAAGAAAAACAAAAGGAACCTCTAGCAGAGAAGGCAAAGAGTTATCATCTTGAGCATCTATTTTAATACATTGTCGTGGTTATTGGAACAAAGTGTCTGAGGCTGGCTCTGGGTTGAAGGGAAGGAATGCTGTGGTTGATTAGTGACGTCTGCATGACAGCAGAGTGGCGACAGCCATGCCGTCTCAGACGTACAGTAACCATAAGCTTGCTATGGGCATGAAGTGTTAGAGAGCAAACACTCTGTACAAAAGTWAAAAGATTTTCCTTTTCACATCTCATGGTATTTGTGTTTATACTATGTATTTTATACTTTTACATGAATAATGATAGCCTTTTTGATCTGCCAATTCAAAGAGGTTTGCATAGCTTTCTTTATTCCCCAAGCTTCTTAAATCTGATATTATTTAGGAATGCTTTCAGCTGCAAGTAACATACATCAAATTAATGGTGACTTATACAAATAGGRACTTATTTTTCTTACATGACAAAAACTGTAGCTAGGGCATATTCTGAGTCAGTGATCACAGCAACAAACTGGGTTCTCTGTTTTCATGCTGTGACCTTTCACTGTTGACTTTACAGCCTTGTGCTTGTCAAGAATGGAATGACTGCAGTTGTTCCTGTTTTCTCAAGGACTGTGTGTGTGTGTGTGTGTGTGTGTGTGTTCAAATTACAAAGAAGGGAGGAGGGGAGGTGAGCACTAGCTCTCTCTTATTGTGTCTACCATTTTTATCAGGAACAAAAGTACCTTGCCCCAAAACTTGAGCTGTCTGATTCCAGGGATAAAGTCTAGCAGTTTTCTACCAAGGGAGTCTGGAAGACTTGATGAGCCAAAGCGGATTGAAGCAAAATCCTCTTTTTCTTTCATAATAAAGGAAAGCCAAGGGAAAAACTTATTTGAGTAAATGGAAATCATGCACAGCCCTTATGTAGCTCTTCAGTATTAATAGCAGGTAGTCTGCATCTCTAAAGGTGATTTGGTACAACTAAACTAGTTGAAGATTGCTCTTTTTAGCCAAGTGCATCATCAGGCAGTTATCTATACAAACTTAAGTTGACTGAAATAAATATCTCATATTAAACCATTCAAATACAACTGAGCATGTTTCTTTAAACAGATTATATTTATTATTTATTTTTTTAATTTGTTCTTCATAGGTGGAGTTTATTTTTGATATATATACATAGAATAAGTATAACTTGTTCCAGTTAGGATCCCATTATTGTGGTTGTATATGATGTGAAGTCATATTGGTCACGTATTCATATATAAGAATAGGAAAGATATGTCCAGTTCATTCTACTGTCTTTTCTATTTCCAKTCCCCCTTCATTCTCCTTGTCTAGTCCAATGAACTTCTATCTTTCCCTTCCTTGTTGTGGGTTAGGATTCATGTAGAACAGATTGTATTTAATCATATAGTTTATCTTTGAAAAAGTAGAGGTGATAGTCATCATCCCTATTTCTGTAGAGACAAATAGACATAGTGCATAAGTTATATAGAATTGACACCCAAGTCAACACATGATACTTCATGTACAAACTACAGCTGTGACCCATTGATTTGTATGTACATCTGTTTCTGGAGCCACATATTATCAGGATCTTGGAAGTCTTTCGGGTTCATCCTTCTTATATCCATACGGAAAACTGAGGCCTGCAGAGATTCACTGATCTGCCAAGGATCATGGAGTATACCTGCTGGGACTCAGCACGGATCTTGGATCTCGGTGCTCTTGAGGAAAGCACAGAGTCGTAAGGACCAGGGCCACCTCTGTGTGATAGCTGGCTCCAATGCTTCCTCACTGAGTGGACCTCCAGGGAAACTGCTTTTCTTCAAGTCAGTTTCATCATCCCTAAAGTGGGGATGATGGTACCTAATTTGCAGGGTTGCTTTGAAGAATTGAATGAAATCATTGAGGTGAATCACTTAAAACCATAGTAGACTTAAAATAGCAGTGAATTATAACTGCTGTATTATTGATTTCCTTCACCACCCATGGTTATTATCAGCATGGTCTTCATCATTATTCCTACTGCTACCACTACATGTAATTTATATACTCTTTTTTTTTTTCCTTTTAAATTACTTTTGGGGCATGTAAGAATGAGATTTGTTGTATTTTTGTTACTTTGATTTAATTTTTTTTTAATTTATTTTTTTAATGTTGGTTGTTCAAAACATTACATAGTTCTTGATATATCATATTTCACATTTTGATTCAAGCGGGTTATGAACTCCCATTTTACCCCGTATACAGCTTGCAGAATCAC